GGGGGGTGCTTGGTGCTGGGGGGGGTGCTAGGGGAGGGTCATTGGGGTGTCAGGAGGCAGTGAGGGTGGGATAGGCGTGGGGAGTAGGTGTCGTGTAGGTGGGAGGGGGCCGGGCTCACCTATATAGTATATATACTATAAAGAAAAAGAATAAAAACTGTAAGTCCGGTCCAGCAGTAGAAGGTTTCATGCTCCCGGGGAGTAAGTGGTATGTACTTTTATAATTTTTATTTAAGCCATACATACGAGGTTAGAACCACTCAACACACGCACCCCCCCTCCTACCCCACAGGAACTCGGTTCCCGGGGGCCTCAAAATCAGCCTGCCTGACGAAAACCTCGGTCCGGGGCCGGTCCGTGCCCAAACTTTGGCGATGACTGTCGCCTCGCAGACCGGCCGGGACTAAGGAAAAAAAACCCCAGCTGGGAGGGAAAAAAAACCTCCCCCCCAGCTGGGGATTTTTTATTCTAAATTTAAAAGTGAATTGCAAGTCCTGAAAAGGAAAAGCAATACATACGAGGTTAGAACCACTCAACACACATGCACACAAGCAGACCCAGACCCACCGACTCTCACAGACAGACACACTCTGACACACAGCAGGAGACTAACTCGCACAGTGACCGCAACCCTTATTTGAAACACTCTGCTGAACAAAATGCCCTGAGCTATCTTCTCACTGCTGCTTCTCAACATCAAACGGTCGATCCTCAGAAAATAGGCATCAGAGACCTGCAAGACAACACAAGGTGGTCAGTGAGGAATTCTATGGTAGCTATGACTCAGCCACCCTCTAGGCCCACATATTTTCTGCACAAAAACCTCATAGAAAAGAGGAACTGTAACCTTTTATACTTGTTCCACCTAACTCTAACTATGTGCCAGGGCAGGGCAGCTCCAAACCAATGCAGTTAAGTTACAGAGGCAGGCACAATGCAGTTAAGTTAAGTTCAGTTACAGAGGCAGGCACAGTGCAGTTAGTTTTACAGAGGCAGGCACAATGCAGTTAGTTTTATAGAGGCAGGCACGGTACAAGGCAGTTGCAGGCGATGTCTGATGGGTGAACGTGGCGATAGCTGCGGATGCGAAGGCCGGTTCCTGGGACGAAAAGATCCACGACGACGTCGAGAGGCTGAGATGGCCGATGACATGAAACACGAGAGAACGAGAAGATGGATTGGAACTGCCCTGCCCGGCAAAAGCTCTGGGGAGCTTGCAAAGAAACCCTCTCCCTTGGCTTCAGAGGGGCCTATCCCACTACAGCCCTGTCCTCTAACTTAACTTCAAAATGCTGACTCACCTGCTCATCTCTGCTCCTTGCCGTGCTCGGGGCAACACCGACTCCTGCAAAGACAGAAAATAAAAAAGCACTCTGAGTTACTGTCACAATGCACAAGGTGGAATTCCCAATGTGGTTCCTTTATTCCATCTTGGACTACAAAAGCTTGTCAGCCAACCAGGGACTGAAACAGAAGAAAAACCACTCAGTCCCACCTCACGTACCGAAAGATCCCCTGTAAAGTTCTGAAGACAGAGCCCTCAAACGAGTGTGGGGTGCTTTGCCCTGAGGCATGTGCAGTTTTTAAGAAATTCAAGTCACCTTCCTTGCTTTCTAGACACTGCTCACCGGCGTGGCAGGCTAGGGGTGGCTGAGGCGAAACATCTTTCCCCAGATAATGACTGCACGATAAACCTGCAACCCCTTCTGTCTCTCAGAATCCTGTCCGTGACACCGATTCGTGTCAGGATCTACAAGGTGGGAGTTGTGATGTGGCTCTTTCATTCTATCTTCGAGAACTAAAGATTAGCAGCAAACCAGGGACTTAAACACCAAAACACACACAGAGCTTGCACCCACCTGTCTTCCAGCGTCATGGGCTGGGATATCTTGCAAGAAGACCACCTAAAATAAAAAAACCAAGGGATTAAAGTTATAGCAGAAACTGAGACCCCAGCAAGAACAACTGCTTCTCTCCATCAACCGAGGTTCACCTTCGCAATGCTTCACCTTCACTGCTGCTATCCGGCTTTACTTCCTAGAAATAAAGACAAAGAGCAGAGCTGTAATACAGTGACCGGTTCCAGCCCCGCTGCAAAGTAAAACCGTGACCAACCTTCTCAGGGGGATCCCCTCATCTGGGACAGATGCTTTGCCAGGAGGTCAATCCGTCTGCATCTGAAAGAAAGTTAGGAAAAAAGTCAAAGTGCTGCAGGGTAACTTCACAGCTCCAGACACCTGCTGCCAACATAAGAATACCACCTAGACTCCAACTACAGCCCGTATTACAAATCTCCAATTACAACTGCCCGGGACTTGTCCTTAAACACCTACAACCGGGCTGGGCGCCAGGGCAGAGCAGCCAAATACCCCCAGACACCCGTGACACGTGAGACAAGGGGACATGACAGGGAGAGAAAACTCTCTGAGACAAGAAAGTCCTCATGAGGACTGAGAGAATGCTGAACGAGATGACCGAGGAGGGACCCAAGGCGAGCCTGCCGGGCTCAGATGACCCTGGGGGAAAAAGATGCTAATGGAACAACTTTTTCCAAGAACCACAGAGACGGATGCCTGAGAATCCTGTGGCTGGAAGCCTCTGCCTGCCTTTGAATCGGCACAAGTCCTTATCCACTGTAAAAAAACACTGCTGCATATAGCTGTTGACACAGCTGAGAACGAGACCTAAGAAAACATCCGATCACATGCTTCTAAAGACAGATGCGATTCTGATGCGTGTCTGAGCTCCCTAATCGAAGCTTCGCTGGCGCCGGGCCGAGGAACGCAAAGATGGGAGATGAATGGAAGGACCCCGGGGTTTCTCATAAGCCCCTGGGAGGGCTAAGGCAAGAGACATGTTACACAAGATGCACATAAGACACAGAAGGCACGAGAGACAAGTGACAACACACCCTGGGACTGCTCTGCCCTGCCTGCCTCAGCATTGTGAGCCAAAGTGAGGCTTTCCCTCACTGGGGCCTATGGGGTCATTTCCAGAACCTCCCCATCCCCAAAGCTCACTCAAAAACCCAAACCGATCTGAGTCCCAACCCACTGCCCTGCTTTGATCCCCTCTGCGGGCTCCACTTATCTCTCGGAGGGCTGAAGATGTGAGTCACAGCGAGAGGCCGGTCGGGTGCCAAACAAAGCCACCTCGCTGTCTGGGAAGTTCTTCTCTCACCGGGCTGTTGTCTCAGACAAGTATCATCACCTATGATAAAGAAAACCAAATGTAAGTGCACAATCTTAGTGGCATATTCACCAAAACCCGACTCCTACTCACCGTCTCTTAGGAACTCCCGGGTCCTCCGGCCCACGCTTCGGCCACGCTCCGAGGCGGATGCCGTCGTCGCAGGGTACGCCTAGGATAAACGGAGAGGAGGCGATGTAGCGTCACTGAAAGTTGAGTGCGCCCTCGCCTCTCCTTCCAACTCCCCCGACTTGCCGTGACTCCTCGGCCACGCCTAAAGGGTACCAGGACCGCACTGACACGTGGACGAGGTCGAGGCTTCGTCATGGACTCCGGTAATATTTGCTGGGGCTCACCAGAGGAGCAAACCGGGTCTCTTGGCAGGTCAGTGAGGGGGCCTCAGCACAGCATCAGGAGGCAGCCTAAAACACACCAACAAGCAGGGATGCTTGGAGTTGCACCAGAAACTGAGACCCCAGCAAGAACAACTGCTTCTCTCCACCAACCGAGGCTCACCTTC